AATTTCCCGGGGGTTACCCAAAAAAAACCCGAAAACAAAAAAAAAAAAAAAAAAAAATCCCCAAATATGCTAAAATTATCCCAAAATTATCCTAAAAATCCCTTAAAAATCGCACCAAAATTACCCCAAAAATCAAAACCCTCCAAAAAAACCCAAATAAATCCCGAAACCCCCAAATCCATCCCCAAAAATCCCAAATCCACCCAAAATCCCCCAAAAAAATCCCAAAAAAACCCAAAAAACCCCCAAATCAATCCCAAAAAAACCCAAATAAATCCCAAAAAAACCCCAAATAAATCCCAAAAAGCCCCAAATAAACCCCAAAAAACCCCAAATAAATCCCAAAAAACCCCAAATAAACCCCAAAAAAACCCAAATAAACCCCAAATAATCCCAAATAAACCCCAAAAAGCCCCAAATCAATCCCAAATAATCCCAAATGAGTCCCCAATGAATCCCAAAATGGCCAAATTTGGGTTTTTCCCGCAGTTTGCTGAGATCATGCAGAAGATCGAGGAGTACATCGGGAAACAGCCGCGGGCGGCCGAGGGTGAGCCCCGAAAACAAATCCCAAAAATCCCAAAAACCACCAAAATCCAGCGTCCCAAATCCCCAAATCCCTGAAATCCCCAAAATCCCCAAAATCCAGCATCCCAAATCCCCAAAATCCCAACATCCAAAAATCCCCAAAATCCAGCATCCCAAATCCCCAAATCCCAACATCCCCAAAATCCCCAAAATCCCCAAAATCCAGCATCCCAAATCCCCGAAATCCCAACATGCAAAAATCCCCAAAATTCAGGATCCCAAATCCCCGAAATCCCAACATCCAAAAATCCCCAAAATTCAGGATCCCAAATCCCCAAATCCCAACATCCCCAAAATCCCTAAAATAGAGCATCCCAAATCCCAAAAATCCCAACATCCAAAAATCCCCCCCAAAATCCAGGATCCCAAATCCCAAAAATCCCAACATCCAAAAATCCCCCCCAAAATCCAGGATCCCAAATCCCAAAAATCCCAACATCCAAAAATCCCCCCCAAAATCCAGGATCCCAAATCCCAAAAATCCCAACATCCAAAAATCCCCCCCAAAATCCAGGATCCCAAATCCCAAAAATCCCAACATCCAAAAATCCCCAAAACCCTGAAAATCCCCAAATCTGGGATCCCAAATCCCAAAAATCCCCAAAATCCCAAATCCCCAAAACCCCCAAATCTGGGATCCCAAATCCCCAAAACCCCCAAATCTGGGATCCCAAATCCCCAAAATCCAAAAATTCCCAAAATCCCAAAAATACCCAAAATCTGGGATCCCAAAATCTCAAAACCCCAAAAATCTGGGATCCAAAAATCCCAAGTTTTTGGGGATTTTTGGATGGAATTTAGTGAATTTTGGGGGGGATTTTTGGAAATTTTGGGTGGGTTTTGGGGAATTTTGGGGGGTTTTGGGTGGATTTTGGGAATTTTGGGTGGATTTAGGGAATTCTGAGGGGTTTCCCAGTGGGATTTTAGGGATCTTTGGGTGGATTTGGGGAATTCTGGGTGGATTTTTGGGATTTTTGGGTGGATTTAGGGGAGTTTTGGGGGAATTTTGGGTGAATTTTGGATGAATTTAGGGGAATTTTTGGGGAATTCTGGGTGGGATTTAGCGAATCTTGGGTGGATTTAGGGAAATTTTAGGGGAATTTTGGGTGGATTTTGGGGGGATTTAGTGGACTTTTAAGGGAATTCTGGGTGGATTTGGGGAATTCTGGGTGGATTTTGGGTGGATTTTTGGGAATTCTGGGTGGATTTCTGGGTGGATTTTTGGGGAATTCTGCGTGGATTTTCGGGAATTTTTGGGAATTCTGGGTGGGATTTTTGGGGATTTTGGGGTGGATTTTTGGGAATATTGGGTGTGATTTAGGGGTTTTTGGGTGGATTTTTGGGGAATTCTGGGTGTATTTTTGGGAATTTTGGGTGTGATTTAGGGGGTTTTGGGTGGATTTTTGGGATTTCTGGGTGGATTTGGGGAATTCTGGGTGGATTTTGGGATTTTTGGGGTAATTCTGGGTGGATTTTGGGTGGATTTTGGGGAATTATTGGGGAGTTCTGGGTGGATTTTTGGGATTTCTGCGTGGATTTTCAGGAATTTTTGGGAATTCTGGGTGAATTTGGGGATTTTGGGGTGGATTTTTGGGAATTCTGGGTGGGATTTAGGGATTTCTGGGTGGGATTTAGGGAATTCTGGGTGGATTTTTGGGATTCCTGGGTGGATTTTCGGGATTTCTGGGTGGGATTTAGGGAATTCTGGGTGGATTTTTGGGAATTCTGGGTAGATTTTTGGCTGGATTTTTGGGAAATTCTGGGTGGTTTTTTGGGAATTCTGGGTGGATTTTTGGGGAATTCTGGGTGGATTTCTGGGATTTCTGGGTGGATTTAGGGATTTCTGGCTGGATTTTTGGAATTTCTGGATGGATTTTTGGGATTTCTGGCTGGATTTTTGGGGAATTCTGGGTGGATTTCTGGGATTTCTGGGTGGATTTAGGGATTTCTGGCTGGATTTTTGGAATTTCTGGATGGATTTTTGGGATTTCTGGCTGGATTTTTGGGGAATTCTGGGTGGATTTCTGGGATTTGGAGTTCTGGGTGGATTTTTGGGATTTCTGCGTGGATTTTCAGGAATTTTTGGGAATTCTGGGTGAATTTGGGGATTTTGGGGTGGATTTTTGGGAATTCTGGGTGGGATTTAGGGATTTCTGGGTGGGATTTAGGGAATTCTGGGTGGATTTTTGGGATTCCTGGGTGGATTTTCGGGATTTCTGGGTGGGATTTAGGGAATTCTGGGTGGATTTTTGGGAATTCTGGGTAGATTTTTGGCTGGATTTTTGGGAAATTCTGGGTGGTTTTTTGGGAATTCTGGGTGGATTTTTGGGGAATTCTGGGTGGATTTCTGGGATTTCTGGGTGGATTTAGGGATTTCTGGCTGGATTTTTGGAATTTCTGGATGGATTTTTGGGATTTCTGGCTGGATTTTTGGGGAATTCTGGGTGGATTTTTGGGATTTTTGAGTGGATTTTTGGGATTTTTGGGTGGATTTTTGGGATTTCTGGTGGATTTTTGGGATTTTTGGGTGAATTTTTGGGGAATTCTGGGTGGATTTCTGGGATTTCTGGGTGGATTTAGGGATTTCTGGCTGGATTTTTGGAATTTCTGGATGGATTTTTGGGATTTCTGGCTGGATTTTTGGGGAATTCTGGGTGGATTTTTGGGATTTTTGGGTGAATTTTTGGGGAATTCTGGGTAGATTTTTGGGATTCCTGGGTGGATTTTGGGGATTCCTGGGTGGATTTTGGGGATTCCTGGGTGGGATTTAGGGATTCCTGGGTGGATTTTTGGGATTTCTCGGTGGATTTTTGGGATCTCTGGGTGAATTTAGGGATTCCTGGGTGGATTTTGGGGATTCCTGGGTGGATTTTTGGGGATTCCTGGGTGGGATTTAGGGATTCCTGGGTGGATTTTCGGGGATTTTCGGGACTTTTGGGCGGATTTCCCCGTTTTCGGGCAGTTTTGGGGCCGGTGGAGGCGGCGCCCGAGTACCGGGTGATCGTGGACGCCAACAACCTCACGGTGGAGATCGAGAACGAGCTCAGTGAGTGCGGGGGATTTTGGGGGGATTTTGGGGGGATTCGGGGCCATTTTGGGTCTGATTTGGGAATTTTTGGCTTCAGACATCATCCACAAATTCATCCGGGACAAATATTCCAAACGCTTCCCGGAGCTGGAGTCGCTGGTGCCGAACGCGCTGGACTACATCCGCACCGTCAAGGTGGGGACCCCGAAACGGCCCCAAAACGGCAAAAAACACCCGAAAAGGGAAAAAACACCCCAAAAAAACCCAAAATGGCAAAAAACACCCCAAAACCACCCCAAAATGGCAAAAAAACACCCCAAAACAGCCTGAAACGGCCCAAAAATGGCAAAAAACACCCGAAAATGGAAAAAAACACCCCAAAACCACCCCAAAATGGCAAAAAAACACCCCAAAAGCTTGAAACGGCCCAAAAACGGCAAAAAACACCCGAAAATGGAAAAAACACCCCAAAACCACCCAAAATGGCAAAAAACACCCCAAAACCACCCCAATACAGCCCGAAACGGCCCGAAAATGGCACAGAACACCCCAAAACAGCCCAAAACACCCCAAAAAGCACCCCAAAAATGGCAAAAAACTCCCCAAAACCTCCCCAATACAGCCCGAAACGGCCCGAAAATGGCACAGAACACCCCAAAACAGCCCAAAACACCCCAAAAAGCACCCCAAAAATGGCAAAAAACTACCCTAAACCAGCCTGAAACAGCCCAAAAATGGCACAAAACACCCCAAAACAGCGCAAAACACCCAAAAATAGCACAGAACACCCCAGAACAGCCCGAAACACCCAAAAATGGCAAAAAACTACCCCAAACCAGCCTGAAACAGCCCAAAAATGGCACAAAACACCCCAAAACAGCGCAAAACACCCAAAAATAGCACAGAACACCCCAGAACAGCCCGAAACACCCAAAAATGGCAAAAAAACCCAAAAATGGCACAAAACACCCCAAAAACACCCTGAAACGGCCCAAAAATGGCACAGAACACCCCAAAACAGCCCAAAACACCCAAAAATGGCAAAAAACACCCCAAAACAGCCTGAAACCACCCAAAATGGCAAAAAACCCCCAAAAATGGCAAAAAAACCCAAAAATGGCACAAAAGACCCTGAAACAGCTCGAAACACCCCAAAATGGCACAGAACACCAAAAAACACCCAAAAAATGGCAAAAACCACCCTAAAAGTGGCACAAAACACCCTAAAAATGGCAAAAAACCACCCCAAAACAGCCTGAAACCCCCCAAAACTGGCAAAAAACACCCCAAAAATAACAAAAAATACCCCAAAACCACCCCTAAACAGTCTGAAACAGCCCGAAAATGGCACAAAACACCCCAAAACAGCCCAAAGCACGCCAAAAATGGCAAACAACACCCCAAAACACCCAAAAATGGCA